GCAGGTGAGCTCCTCCGGCCGCTTCCGCCGGCGCAGGCCGACCCGGGGCGAGGTGAACGGCGGCCGAGTGGGTGGGGAGGGGCCGGGCCTCCGGGATCGCTATGCCCCTGCTGGACAGGGCCGCCACCCTTCATTCCTTGATGAGAGGTTAACTGGTTTGGCCCATTCTCAGCACCTTTTTCTTGTGAGAAATTGAAAGTCTAAAGAAGTAAGGCAATTAAAAACTCCTCAGAAATCTCCCCATTGTAGTAACATTTTGGGTAGCAACCAGACATCTCATTATCCAAACATACACAGACGTAAACAGGGTCATGCTACTGGACTTCTTCCTGGTAATAAAGGCTATTTTGTCATTATGTTATTCATATTATGTCATTATTTAAAACGGCAGCATAAGTATCCATTGTAGGAGACGGGATACCGACCCGTTGTCTGGTGTTGGAGGATTGAGTTAAGAGTTTTTTCTGTTGTAAATACAAATAGGTAGTTCTTCACTTGGCCTAGGCTTACTCCTCCTGTCTTTTGCCCTATTGCAAGCAGCTCAGAGTTTGTTAGAGGCTCTGAAGATGCTGGTCTAGGGCCCTCACTGTAGTCAACCCAGTTCATGTGATTACCCAGCATGAAAAGAAAATGCACACTCTAACTTTTTTAATGTCCATATAAAGTGTATATTCTGGGATCCTTATAAGATGGTTGTATCGGGACAACAGCCTTTCTACACTTTTTATTTCTTTCTCTTTTTTTGTTTTTTAATTGTTCTGTGTAACAGAGTAAGCAGGAAATTCACAGGAGGTCTGCTCGGCTCAGAAACACTAAATACAAATCGGCTCCAGCTGCTGAAAAGAAAGTTTCCACTAAAGGAAAAGGGAGAAGACATATTTTTAAGTTAAAAAATGTAAGATGATCGTGGACAGTGTCTTTTACTGTAATGGCATTGTGTGTGTAGTGTGTCTTGCCACTGCCTTCATCTCTCACCTTTGAACTTTGACTTTCCTGGGAGCTCTTCTGTAGTATTCTAAGGAGTGGTCCAGACTGTCTGAAGACGCTGAGCTCTGTTGCAGGAGGCTTACTGTTTATAAAGTTAATAATACCCTTTCTCTTTTTTTAGCTTTTATTTTTCTTCTGGAAAATATAAAATATGAGTCTGAAAGAAACATAAACCGTGGGTGCATTGTATTGGGTTCTTTAGGCAAAGGATTATGGTTCTTGGTATGGCCAGTTACACTAGGAAAACTTTTTTCATTTTTTAAAGATCTAAGTAAATAATACTGGAACTCACTCATTTCCATATTTGCTTTATAGCCCTAGAAAATGTTTCTTACTGACTTATGATCAGTTTGATGAATATGAATTAAAAATTTTACTAAATATCTCCTGCTGTAGGAAAATAGATGGTTGAAAGACTCGTGCTGGGGATGGTTGAAAGCACATTTTTGGTGCAGTAGATTCTCATTGTCTTTGTAAATACAAGGAGGCGCTGGTCAAACACTATGCATTCTAGACTAGACTATTTTTTTAAAGCTCAGTATGGTATTCATTCTTTTCAGAACAGGAATGGTTGACTTACCAGTAAAGGCATTTCTGAAGTTGGGCATATTTGTAAAACACAAAAGGGCCCTCCAGTATATCGTGCAGATTGTGGATTCTTATCGAGAGTAGTTGTCCCTAATTTTTTAAGATTTTAATAAATTAATTTTCTAAAAATCAGGCATTTGTTGACTAGATAAAACATGTTAAGTAAATATTCATTTGATTATAGTTGTTTCATTTAAACATATGTTTTCCTCAAGTATCTGCTAATATGTTGTCTGCAGTTTTTTAATATCAATTTCTCTAGCAACCCCTCCAAGGATGATAACCAAGCCATGTCTGGGGAGGCCTTTTTTTTTTTTTTTAGGCAAGGCAACCCTTGGTTTACCTCACAGATTGCAAGGACCTTGTCAGTTTACAATCCCTTATTTTTTTTTAATTTTTTACGCCTACAGCACCTGGTCTTCCTAGGTGGTCTCCCATCTAAGTACTAACCGGGACCGACCCTGCTTAGCTTCCAAGATCAGATGGGATCAGGCTTGTTCAGGGTGGCATGGCCGTAGATGAGGCCTCCTTTCTGTGTTGTGGCATGAAAGTATGTATTGTAGCTTAAGAACGGAGTTCAGTGATGGTTGGGTGGTGGCAGATTACTAAGAACTCTGAAGGAAGTTTCTTTTAGCCTTAGTTCAGGCTTGCTAGAAAATTAGTTCCAATGGTATTGAGTATCATAGCCAGTTGCATAGTTAATTTGAGATGGAAAATGTCTTCTAGGAGAGACACTTTTTCATTTTTTGTTCAGCTACTCATTTTTTATTCCACTTCTGTCATGCTCAGGCCATTAGAACCAGTATATTTTTATAACTAAAATGTTAATGTGTAATAAATCTGAGAGGGCTTGTGTTAGCTCTCAGCAGCATAATCAGAAGAAGCTTTTCTTCTGGTTCTCAGCAATTTTTAAGCTAATGGTAGCAGAAATAGCAGTGGAAACATTCAGACTGTGCTTTGCCACAACATCCAGAAAATCATTTATCTTTTTATTGCAGTTTTGTCACCAAACAACAAATTTAGTATTTCTCAAATTACAGAACTCTGATAATATGGCTGGGAAAATGCCTGTACACACAAACGCACATACACAATATGTCTGTTTAATATTTTTACTTTTTTTTATAGCCCATCAAAGCTCCTGAGTCAGTTTCCACAATAATCACTGCAGAATCAATCTTCTACAAGGTAAATATATCTGTGGAGTTACTGAAGGACAATTTAGGCCTACTATATAATGTGCTTCTGAAATGTTAGGTTAGTCTGAAGGCTTCTATTTTTCTGTAAAAAGTATGATTGCGGGTGTTCTTTCCTAAGCTTTTTCCCCTAGAGGTAGCTGTTATAAAACATCTCTTCCAGTGCTGAGGTGGGAGGGGAAGTTGCCTATTGAAATATGAAATGAGGATCTTAAGAATTTTTAATGCAGATTATGAGAATAGTCTTTAAAATGCTAATGTGTGGTATGCAGCTGTGAAAGAGTGAGCCATCCTAGTCAATATGGTGGCAGGGAAGGGTGAGGACAGAGGCAGGATTTAGTCTAGTAGAGGATGTGGACTCTCATGTCTAATGGGCAGAGTAGGCACAGAGATTCTAAAGTGCTCTTAATCAGAGTGGCAGAATAAGGGCAGAGGGGATTAACACTTACTAGAAGTCCATAGAGTCCAAGATGTTTTGGTAAAACAGAAGGTCAGGTTTTTAGGGACAAAGGTCAGGTTCGCTGTGAACATTTGATACGTTAGTGAGAGGTGACATTTTGTTATTTTTGAACCAGAAAACTGGGAAAGCAATTGGAACATAGAAAAGGTCTCTAAGGCCTGGGAGGCCTGGCACAGGCAATAACCATTAAATACTGTCACTGAGGGGCAGCGGTGTGAGTTAGCGCTTCATACCTGGCTTCAGTGCGCCAGACATTGGGAAAATCAAAACTTCATACTCCTTGAGTATACCTTGTTTTTTGGTAGCCCAGAATCTAAACAGTCTTTGCATAGGCAAACATCTCCTATACTGCCAGCATTTCATAAAACTGTTAATAACACATGGCTGAAGTTTAGTATGTGCTTGCTATTTATCAGGCACTGAGGTGAGCATTTCACATGCTTTATTTTATTCAAGCTTCTCCGTGAAGTGGTTACTGTTATTCCCATTTTATGGTGAGGACATGGAGGTACAGAGAGGTTAATTAGTCCAAAATCACATAGCCGACAAGTCATGGAGTGAAGCAGTCTGATGCCAGAGTCCAAACCTGGCTCTACTGCTTGGCAGGTGGTTGTGTGACTGGGCTAGAGCCTACCTCTCTAATGTTTCTTCATCTATAAAATAGGGATCGTATGTAGAAACTACCTCAGTGGGTCAAATGAGATTATGTTTGTTGAGCACGTAGCGCAGAGTAAGCACTCAATAGTAAAAATTATCATCATCACATTTTCACATTTGTGCATTACCTTCACAGCTGAACATACAGTTTATAGATTAAGTCCAGAAGGAACTGGTCGAGCCAAGGACTTAGTGTGCTAATGATTTCTAGGCATTTCTCAATGGAAAGGCATGTGAGACCTGTTATCGCAAGTATCAGTAATTTATCACTGTTTACCACCCTTGTTTATTAAATAATAAGGACAAAATGCAACACTCAAGTAATGCTGCAAGTACCCAGTATTGCAGAAGCTGTCACAGCAGTGCCGCTACAGGTAGCACCATGGTGGGCAAAGTTAAGTCATTGCCAGCTGCTAAACTAGAACCCAGATCAGGCATGCAAGAGGCAGCTGAGTGGGAGCCATTGGGTATGATGGCCATGAGTGTGGACACCAAAGACCCAAAATGGTTAAGTGACCTCCCCAGAACACTTCAGTGGCAGAACAGCCCATGAACTCAGGTTACTCCTAATCCAGTGTTTTTCAGTAAATTGTGTTGACCTTTTTTATTTGTCAGAAACTCTGAAACATCCCTGCAAATGAGGGGGACTCCTTAGATCAAGTGCCTTAGTCTTGTTTTATGTGTTTTTTATATACACACACACACACACACACTAATATATATATATGAGTGTGTGTGTGTATGGTGGAAATTAGCACCTACTGGAATGTGGTGTTTTTGGAATCTTACTAAGACATTGTCTTTGCCTTGCAGTTCTGCTTTCACACTATTATGTATTTTGAATTAATATTCATTCAGCATATATTTGAGTGCCTATGATAAGCAAGGGCCCATTTTTATGTGTGTGAGAAATATAATCATTTATAATTTGGGAAAAATGATTATACATATAGACAAAAAGAAGGCACAAATGCAAACCATTTATATGATAAATAATTTAGAACTTTGGTGTAGTGGCAAGAAGGACCAGCCGATGATGGATATGAACTAGCAAGGAGCAGATTGTGGCCCAGATTGTTGCATCTGGATCACTATGCCCATCCATAGTGACCCAGATGCAACAGTCACCCTTAGACACATTGATGAAGGGTCTACCTGGAGAAACTCCTGGCCTGTCATTTGTGTCACAGCTTAATTACTGGAAATATTTTCTCAGAACCATGTTTATGGTTGAGGTACATACCCCAGCAGCTTTACCTGCTGTCAGGGCCCTGTTTCGAGGAAAGCAGTGATGAATCACACCTGCAGATTGGGTCCTACAATTGAGAGTATGGCCTGCTGAGACTTACACCCACCTAAGGAGGTTCTGAGTGTCATAAATATTTGGATCAGCCATATGAGTGTTCAAAGGAGAGATTATTTCTAGTTCAAGACCCAGGAAACAGGATGTGGACAGAGGGCAGAGGCTTGAATGCAAGATGTGTACAGATTATTTAGCTGGGTATGAAATAGAGCAGGGAAAGACATGAAGTCTTGAACTCCAGAAATACCAGACATTGTCTTGGGGGAGGAAATTAAAGTGAATAGGAGGGGAAGAGACAAGTGCCAATGAGACTGGGGAAAGGTGGTAAATTGAGGGTAAACTTATTCTGAAGACTGATTATAATCAAAAGAGTCATTTCTTTGGTTTCAATTTATGGCATTTCTTTTCCTTAATGTATGGTTGAGGAGGAAGATACATAGTGTATATTCTCTCCAGATAAGCACTGATTTTCATGACAGTACAGGGATAGACTGCTGAGCTAGTGTAGGCACTTTGGCAGCAGTTCTGCCTTATGTAGCTTTCAGGGAGTCACTTAACCTTTCTGCAGCTTAATGGCTCTAGCCAAAAAAAGTAGGGATAGTACTGTTGTGATAGAAAATCAAAATATTTTTATAAACAAATGTTTTTTTCCAGATGCAAGTTTGTGTGTATGTGTAATTTCTTCATCCAAAAGTGAAACAACTTTAGGATTGACATCAACCATTACTCCATCTCAAAGACCTTTTATTGGCCACTTTGTAAGCTCTTGCTTTTACATTAGGGAAATTTCAGTTGATAGCTGTGGTGCTGATCTATTTATTTTAAATATGGGATTATCTTCTGTTTCCCCTAGGGAGTATATTACCAAATTGGAGATGTTGTTTCTGTGATTGATGAACAAGATGGAAAACCCTACTATGCTCAGATCAGGGGTTTTATCCAGGACCAGTACTGTGAGAAGAGCGCAGCACTGACATGGCTCATTCCCACTCTTTCTAGCCCCAGGGACCAGTTTGATCCTGCATCCTACATCATAGGTGAGTTTGACAAGTGGTACAGGTTCTTGAACCCAATTAAGTCTCTGTTATTATGTATAAGAATGCATTAGTCTGCTTGGGCTGCCATAACAAAATACCCCAGACTGAATGGCTTACACAGCAGAAATTTATTTTCTCATGGTTCTGGAGGCCAGATGTCTAAGATCAGCATGCCGTCAGGGTTAGTTTCTGGTGAGAGCTCTCTTCCTGGCTTGTGGACCCCCACCTTCTTGTTGTGTATGCTCCTGGAGTCTCTTATAAAAACGCCAATCCTATGGGATTAGAGTGCCACTCTTACAACCTCATTTAACCTTAATTACCTCCCTAAATGCCTTGTCTCCAAATACCATCATATTGAAGATTAGGCCTTCAACATATGAATTTGGGAGGGATACAATTCAGTACATAACAAAGAAGCATAAGTATCGTTAAGTACAATAGAGAACTTTATAGGAAATATGAAAGATGTTTTATATAGCTAGGATTTTGAGTTAGGGCAGTATGCACCTCTTAAAATGTGATATACATAAGATTTTTCTGAGTGACTCAGGATTAAATTCTTTTATTTTTTAACTCAGGATTAAATTCTATTAAAAGAATTTATTTGCTCAGGAACTAGGTTATTTAGGTTACTTATCAAAACCTACTCAAAAATTATTTCTAAAGGAACAATCATAGTTATTTCTAGAATCTCACAAATTCTCAATATGCGTCCTTCTACTCGTTACACAGATCATTCTAGACCTTTTTTAACATATCGTTGGTAATTGAAATGGCAGCCACTATACTGATTAATTTCAACGCTGCCAAAAAAATAGGACAAACAGTTCTTTACATAGACTCACAAGAAGTTACTGATTAATAAAATTTTGAAAGTGTTCAGAGTTTTTAAGTTACTCTGGACTTTTCAGCCTTTCTGCAATGAGCATGTATTACTTTTGCATTCTGAGGAAAAAACATAAAATTTTTTCAGAGAGAACTCAGGGACAGTTAACATACCACTGTTATTCTCACCTGCATGTCAAGTTCGATACATGACCAAACAGTTTTAGTCTTCTGCTTGTAAGTACGTAGAAGAATGGACTTTCACTTATCTGATCTATTGGATAGGAGTCTCAGCAGAGGCAGTGATGCGACAGAATCACCTCTGGGTCTTCTCTCCCACCTCCTCTTCCTAATCTTGATTCCAGAGCACAAACTCTGGAGCCAGCCTATCTGGGTTCATAGCCCATATACTTACTAGCTGTGTGATCTTGGGCAAGTTCCTTAATCTTTCTTGCCTCATTTTTCTCATATGTGAAATGGGAATAAGAGGGCTTTTATGAGGGTTCAAAGTATTGATATGTACAGTACTAAGAACAGTACAGGCATATAATAAACACTATCTAGGCTAAATATTTTTAGAATCTTTTCTGCATTGAGTCACTGTTTTGGGGAGAATGGTATATTCCTTAAGCAGTTAAGGTAGAATAATGATAGAGTGACTTCAGAGTAATAAATGTTCCCAAGGCTAATGTCAGGTCACCAACAGAGTTGTTTCTCCTAGTGTCTAGGAATTTTAACATTTTATGATAATGATACATATGTTTGAAAATATGTTTCACCTTTCCATTGGCCACCTTTAGGACCAGAGGAGGATCTTCCAAGGAAGATGGAATACTTGGAATTTGTTTGTCATGCACCCTCTGAATATTTCAAGTCACGTTCATCACCATTTCCCACAGTTCCTACCAGACCAGAGAAGGGCTATATATGGACTCATGTTGGACCTACTCCTGCAATAACTATTAAAGAAACAGTTGCCAACCATTTATAGTTTAAAAAGTAAAACTGGATTTCCAGTTATCTTCTATTCATACCACTATAAGATATGCCCATGTTAGAATGTAATTCTTAGATGGAAAAACAAAAAAGTTTTTTCCCTACTACCCAGTAATCATTTTACTAGTTACTTGGAAAACTAAAAAGGATAGAAAATAATTAAATATATTTTTAAGTAAATTGTTACATCCTGTAGGTGTATTTTCCCAGACAAGGGCTGGAATGTCCAAGGAAACCATCAGGAACGTAGTGTTTTTCTCCATAATTTATTTCTAGAAACTTGAGTCCATTTTATATTTTGCTATAAGAACAAAGTATTAATTAAAGTTTGGATTTCTGGCCAAGGATTGAACCAAATGTAGCTAAGACCAAGAAAATGCTATGGCAGACTGTTGACTTCTTTAACCTAAAGGAAAATGGTGGATAATTTTATTAGCCCAGGCCTTTTAAAACTTTCATCTAAAAAATAATTAATTTAAAATTTTTTTCATCTAATTCTTCTGTAGCAAACAGATTCAAAATCATTTTGTTGATCTTAATATCACTGTTCTCGCCGACCTTCTCAGTCAAAACAAGGCTTCCAATCAAACCATAAAATCTTGTAGTGCAGTCAGCTTCATCAAACATATACTCTTCATGTTTTAAAAAGGATTTCATTTGGTGGTTTCTTGGCTGCTTTAGAACAACCACTGAGCAGTCATAAAAATGATTATTAGTCAACTATAATTAAAAAATAAATGTAAAAAAATGGTTTAAAATTTTTTTTAAGTGGTTAATAGATTATTAGCATTGACATAGTTTAAAAAGTCTGCCCCAAAGTTAAACCACTTGCTATGAACTCACAATAATAGGCCTGAAACAGTGCCTTGCACTTGGAAGGCCTGTTGTATATGAAATTGTCCAGAATTCAAGTACAGGTTTACTTCAAGTGCAAGTCAGCCAAGTAAGGGAGCAACATTGTGAAAACAGGAAGAAGTGTAGATTGCACACACTTGCCTCCTCTCCTGACTTAACTAGTATTTTCAACCCCAGAAACATTGTCAGAATCTAATTTAATCATAATGATTTTGTGTTGTAGCACCTTTAACTATTACCCTTTTCTACAGTTATGGTTCGTGTGTTGGAAATAAGCAACTATCGATAGTTCTATGTACATAGTTAGCTCTCTGTATATAGTTATCTCTCTGTTCACAGTAATGACAGTAAAATTGATTGTAAATACCATTGTAAAAAGCTGTCTAAATGCTAATCAAACTTTTGGATTAAAATGTATTTTTCACAATGTATTTACTTTGGATTTATTTCATTTAAACAAATAGGGCCATCTATCAAAAAATGGTATAGATAGAAAACTGCGGTGTTGTAGTATTCATAAGTTGGAGTGACAGGTTCATCATCAGTATGTAATAGATTTTAGGAAAATCAAAGAATGGCTGATTGAAAAAATGAATTCTTAAGATATTTATTAAAGTGAGGAAATATTTAAAAACTAGAGTAGTACTGACCTTTTGTTTATAAATTGGTAGATACTTGTGTAGTATCTTTTAAAATAAATATTGGATTTTCACTTTCTTCTTCATTAAACACCAAAGGCTCCCATTGCTTACAGGGTAGATTCATACCTTTTTCCTTGTTATGGAAGGCTTGCCTTGATACGGCCCTGGTCTGTATTCCCAGCCTTGTCTCCCTCTTCTCAGCAACACTGTGATATTTCCTCCTGACACCCTCCTTGTTTTTTTTGGTTATGAGGCCTTGTTCATCCTATTCTCTCCAACTCACCAAAGGTTTTTCCTAAGGCCCTCAAATTCTCTCTCTCATGAGACCTTTCCAGATTCCCATGACTCCTTGAAATCAGTTTCTCTCCTGTTCTGTTAATTGCATTTAAGTTTCTACTTTTGTTGCCCCCATCCCGCCCCAGTGTTCCCTGGAAGACGGAGATGGTGTATTTTATTTACCCATCTTTGTAACGCCCACAGCACTTAACCCAGGTCCTCGCTTATGGGAGGTGCTTAGTATAGAGTCAGGTTAGGTGCTTTTAATTAAAATGCCTGTTGATATTTTAATACTAATTCATACTTACCTTGCCTTAAACTTCAAATTCTCTTGCGAACAACCCACTCAAGTAGAACTTCCAATTGTTATATTCCAGATTAGTATTAGTATTGTTTTTAAGCTTTAACAGAATGTTTTTAGGATGATCTTTAAGTACTTCTCTTACAGAAATACTAACATAGTAGCTGGAAAAATTATCCCAGACCATTCAAGTTCTTGGCTGTGAAAGGTATTTCCAGGACTAAAATGTTCCAATGAGAAGTTTGAATCACAATTACGTTTCAGCCGTAAGTAAATAAAATCATAAGAACAATGGATTGCAATATATATAATGCTTTTACATATGCATGTGTGTGTACAAATATACATAGATACACATACTCAGTGATGTTCTGTCATGGACCAGAAAAGGGAGGGCACCTTTGTGGATTTTGTTTTGCCACCCTGGGCATGTTTTAGGAATCGTATTTTTTTATTTCATACCAGATGTGTGACTCATACCTTTTGTAGGATGGTGTACCTCCAATATCAAAAAAAAATTAAGCCAAGAAGTCAGGGAGAAGTCAAGGAGAAACAAGAAGGAATCTGAACGACAAGAGGGAAATGCCTAAGTAAGTTATAGTGCATTTTTCTTCTTTATACTTTTCAGTATTTTCCAACTTTGCTGCAATGAGCATACATACACAGACACATATTTGTCTGCAGACTGTCCAACTAGTGGAAGGGAAGATGGACAAAGTAGAGGAGAGTAAGGACAAACTTGAAACTGCGTCAGTCTCTTCCAGACTGCCTGCGTGCTGACGCAGGCCCCAGCACCAGATGCAAAAAGTAAAAGCCTCACCCAGACTGTTTAACAGGCTCCCACAATTGTGTCAGGTAAAATCTCTATCACAGAGCCTTTATTGAACATTCCTAGTCTTCTATTTCACTGATAATTCCTAATACAGTTACTGAGACTCTGAAGAAAAGGAACTGATGTTTTTCATTATAAGCTATTTAGAATTATCTGGCCTTTTAAAAAAATATGTATTACTTGGATAAAAATTTTTAATTGAAAAGTAATGAAGGAGACCATATAGGGGAAGATGAACAGACTGGATTTTTAAAAATTTTAATCTCTGTTAAAAAAATGTGTATACAGAATTAAAAACCAAACAACTCTCCCTTCTTTTTCTTTTTTCTCTTAAAGTAGTGGAAATCATTAATCAGTATTTCTTATTCAGCATGACAGATTGGCATGAAATAATTACTCAGCTAAAGCAGAAAAGCTACAATCATAACCTCAACTTCTTGTAACATCATCACTATTTCGAATTACTCTTCACTTCTTTGTTCCACCTGTTTTACAGAAGCTGAGTAGAAGAGAGAAGGTTTATAACAAAAACATCTATCCCTATGGATAGAGAAGGTGTGAGTAAAAAAGTCAGTAACCTTAGAATAAAGGGTGAGGGGGCTCGCGCTCGCTCGCTCGCTCTCCCCGCCCCCCGCCCCCCGCCCAGAAATCCTCTCCACAAGTAGAGATAGAAAAACACTTTTATTATTGACTGAGCATTAAACCAGAATGTGATGTTCACCGAAGACAATTGGCCAAGAAATTACAAAGACAGAAAGAAACCTCACCCTTTTATCTAACCAAGCAGATACAGCCCATTACATACATGTTCTTAAGATAAATAATAACCAGTTATCAACTAAGAGAACTTGACAGCACTATTAGTCACATGCAGTTCTTCCTATCGTTACCTGGTAATTCAGGTGACCACCTATGTTAGCTAATTGACTTTATCTAGAGGGGTTTGGGGAAACAAACTCATCTTTATGATGGGAGTTACTGTTACAACCTGCCTCCCACAGAAACTGGGCAGAGTTGTGCTATCTCCTGGTGTCTATATTTCAAAGAGATGGAGTCTATGTCTTTGAGAAAGATAGTCCTACGTCATAAAGCTTTCAAAGAGATGGAGAAAATACTTATATTTACAAGTTTTCTAAGGTAAATATCCTGAAAAAGCAGGAGGAGAGGGAAATCTCTTCCCTTGTTTTAAGCAAGATAATTAAACCTCTTATTTTAAATTTGTATTTGTTTCTACAGTGCCCTCCCTAAATTTGGAAGAGGAAGCTTTTGACTCAGGCCCTTACGTCAGGGCTGCTTATTAGTACACATTGCTGTCTTTGTGAGAGTTTCGATACGCGGCCACTTCAGGATTTGACTAGAGACAGAGGGCTGGGTTCCATTCTTAACTCACCCAGGAACCTTTGGGCAGGGCCAAACCTGCACAGCCATACGCGGTAATCCTCATCATTGTGACTTTGTTAACAGGTGTAAGAGGTTCTGAATTTACAAAGGCCAAACACATAATCCTGTGCCAGAGGAAAATTCATTTTCTATTCACTCTCCTCCATGAGCACTTGTTAGAGCTTTGCACCTGGTAGGGTCAGAAACATTATCTCATTTAATTATCCTCGTTTTATATTTCAATATTTAATCATGGATTTTCAACATGTTTTTAGATTCCACTACCCTCCCCCCACCTTTATACCAGTGAATTATAAACACATTAGAATCACCTCTGGAGCTTTGAAAAACAGCAGAAATACCTGCTGCCTGAGGGTTCCACAGCAACCAATTAAATCAGAATCTATGAGAGTGAGACTGGGGCCTCACTAGGTTGCAAAGAATCTAGCAAAACTTAAAATATATAAAAAATTGTGTAAAGTTTCAGAGGTAATTGTAATGTGCAGCCAGAAATGAGACCTACTGCTTAGGCTAGTTCTCTTTTAGTATATAAAATTGAGCAGATAAAGTCTTCAATTTCTACAAAGGGAGAAGGAGATCAGGTAGTATCCCGCTTTGGGGCAATTTAGGAAGATAATCAAAGGCCTATTTATACCACGTAGCCCTGATAAAGGTATTTCGTATATGGGGGCACATAAAATGGAGGTTCACCACAAATCTAAACTTGCTCCAACTTAGGCTGCACCTACAGGAAGCACCTGTCAGAGAAACCCACTGTGCATCAATCACAAGCTCGTTCACCTTACCCTAGGAACCCGGACCTGCTAACCCTCCGGGGGAACCGACCTCGCCCGCAGCCCGGCCCGCTTTCCCCTCGCCTCCTCTCGCGCTTCAGCCAACTGCTCTTGCCCCACATCCCGGGAAGAGTGCTGGCTGCTCGTGAGGCGCGGTGCCCCGCCAGCCCGTGGCTAGTTTCCCCTGGAAAGAGGACGTCAAACTTGTTACAAAATAGTTTTAGTTTTGTAGTTTGAAAGTTTTGGCGATTAGATGGTACGCGAAGCCAGCTGCTGAGGACGCCTGGGCCTGCGCCTAGACGCGCGTGAAGGAACCACCAGCCCTCGTGTTCGCTGCCGGCGGGTCGCGCCCTGGGAGCCCCAGGTTAGCTTCTCTCTCGGACTGGGCTCCGCTTGTTGTGCGTTGTGCATTCTCAGCTCTTTGAGTTAGTTTGTCCAAATCCTTCCTGGTGGGAGATGGGGGTGTGGGAGACCTTACATTTTTCATGGCGAGACCTAGTGAGCCACAACTTTTGGGTTTGTGGCCGACCTCATCTACAAGTTAAGCAAGCGCCTTGGGGAGGTCCTGACAGGTCTCAGGAACTGTGCACAGGCCAGTAGAAAGAGATAACCCGGTTGAATTAGGATTGTTTCAACAAGAGAAATAATGGGTACGCCTCAATCTACAAAGCAAAGTGGCAGTTCTTAGGGGACTCGCTAAAACCTCAAGTCTACAGCATAAACCGCTGGGGGACTTGAGGAAATAAGACAAGAAATACAACTGTTTTGACCAATGGCACATCGAAATCTAAGTAAGCACAAGTCAGACCATTAAAAGCTATTAGGTCCACAAAAACATGGCTAAAACTAAAACCAATGGCAAGGAACTTACCGCCTATGTTTTCCTCTAGGAATTTTATGGTTTCAGGTCTTGGTTTCAGGTCTTAGATTCAAGTCCTTAATCCATTTTAAGTTAATTTTTGTGTATGGTATAAGATAGTGGTCCTATTTCATTCTTTTGCATGTGGCTGTCCAGTTTTCCCAGCACTGTTTATCGGAGATAATCCTTGCTCCATTGTATGTTCTTGGTTCTTTTGACCTAAATTAATTATCAGTGTGGGTTTATTTCTGGGATTTCATTCTGTTCAGTTGATCTAGTGTGTCTCTTTTTATGTTAATACCATACTGTTTTGATCAATATATCCTAAATTAATTATCAGTATATGTG